AACTGCAAAAGAAGCTTCATTGCCAAGGCTGAGAGCAACACTAATCTATGTGCATAAACACAAATATTTAGAAGAGTTTCCCAGCATGACCTTTTTTTTTTTTTAAATCAAAACAACAGTATTATCTTCTCCCCTAAGGTGAGTGTCTACCCTGACTTTTAACACATCCTCCTTTTTTCTTACTGAATATAACCATGACTTTGGGACTGCCCTTGCCCTCATTTTGCACGTAAGGCCTTGGAAACACACGGGGTGACCCAGCTTTCCATAGAACACCCAGCTAAGAGAATATGAATCTGGTCAAAGCAGGTGCTTTCTTTTAAGTTGAAAATGTAAATTGAGGGTTAAGAACAATGGCTACTCTTCTAGACTATATAGGTTCTATTTGCAGCACCCACGTGCAGCTCATAACCATCTGTAACCCCAGTTCCAGGGGATCCAATGGCCTCTTCTAGCCTTCACGCACACCAGGAAAGCATGGGTGCACAGACTTGCATACAGGCCAAACACCCTCGCACATAAAATAACAAAATGACAATAAAATATTTACCAAAGGAAATTTAAATTTATACATAGTAATTACACATACTATGGAGTACACTGTACTTTTACAAATTGTATCTATTTAGTGTGAGTGTGCTTGTGCACATGTGTGGATGTCTGAGGACGACTTGTGGGGGTTGGTTTTCTCTCTTTCTATGTGTGGGTCTCAGGGATTGATTAAGGTCATCAGGCTTGGCAGCAAGTGCCTTTACCCACTGAGTCATATGCCACGTTGTGTAATGCTTTGTTCAGGGTTATTGTCACACCCCTGTGTATTGTGTGCATGTGTGTGGATGTGGGCACTTATGTGCCTACTCATATGTATGTGGTGTGCCGGCAGGTGCACACAGAGAGGCTGCTGAGTGTCCTGCCCTTCCCTTCCCCACCTTCTTCCTCCTCTGAGCCACAGCCTCTTACTGAACCAAGAGCAAGGCTAACAGCCTGCAAGCCCCAGTCTCCCTCTTGTCTTCATCCTGTGCTCAGGTTCCAAGTGTATATGTTGTTATCACCTAGATTTTCTGGGATCTGAACTCAGGTTTTCACTCCTACCCACAAAGTCATAGCTGGCATACGTTCATCCTTTCTTTGTGTTGTGAACATTTAAAATCCTTACTACTATTTGTTTTGAAATACTCAATTGCCTGTTAACCAAACACCACCAAGAACATTCAATTACTCATACTTACTACCAATCCAGTTGTTCTCACCATTACCCCACTTTTATGTAGAGCATTATGCTAGAATATTGTTCTAATCTATTTAAAATATTAAAAAATCGCATTCGCTTAATGTGTGTGTGTGTACTTGAATTTATGCACAATACATGTGCATCACAGTGTGTGTGTGTGTGTGTGTGTGTGTGTGTGTGTGTGTGTGTGTGTTACTTGTGGGAGTCAGTTCTCTCTTCCACCATGTGAGTCTTGGGGACTGAACTCAGGTCATCAGACTAGGTGGCAAGAGCCTTCACCTTCTGAGTCATCTTGCCAGCCTGCCTTTATCTATCAATCATCTCTATCTATCCATTTAATATCAGAGCTTTCACTGGTTCTTTTCATATCTACTTATTTTTGTTTCATAATCTTCTGCTCTTGTTGGAGGGCTCTTATCATTTCCTTTGCCTTTTTGAGTCATTTAATGCCTCTGTTGTAAAGTTCATTGAGAAGTCATATTGCATCTCTTAACCCATTAACCCTCATTTCTCTATCTTCCCTCCTCCTATGCCCCGGTGAGAATGGTTTTACTCTCTGGTCTTTCTTTATGTCGGGATGTCCTTGAACTTGCTGTGTATCTGAGGCTGGCCTCAGACTCTGCTTCCTGGGGTTGGGGTTATAGTTGTGGGCTTTTCGTTCATATTACATTCTGGGTAAGCATTCTATCACTGAGATACAAGCCTGCCAGTGGCTTTAGCGTAGGAAAATAATCTGTATGCTGTGAATGTGCTTGACCTGACAGAATCTGCTTCTGGAGGGAGGAAGTTTCCTGTTACTCCAGAAAAAACGAGCAGAGCTTTGTTTGTTACCTAGGGAGGCTGCAGAGACCAGAGTGGAGTTGTGTGCTGCCTCTGATAGACACCTTTCCTGTTTCCTTGAACTGCCTAGGGCCCTTTACTAGGAGTGACCTCACCCCCATTTCTGTTAATTCCTCTGCTATGACCACAGGAAGGCCTAAACCACACTGTGTCTTCTCTAAGTAAGCACAGGAACCTAGGTATCTGCTGCCTGCACCTGAGTTCCTGTGGAGGCTGCAGGGACCAGTGGACTGGGTTCAGACAAAGACCTAGCCAGGAGGGACTCGGGCAGAGAGCATAGCAATGAGATGGAGCCTTAGCCTGCCTCATGGGCTTGCATGAGAGTCCCTGCTCAGATCAGCTAGGCCTGCCTTGCCTCCTGTCTGACCACCTACTCATGCTCAGCTTCTGATCCAGGGGCATGTGCTGGCTCTGGCTGCCTTTTATACTTTGAAACTTCCCCTTTCCTTCCCTCCCCTTCCTTCCGCCCTCTTTTCCTGTTACTTCCCTTCTTCTCTTTCTTCTTCTGCCTCCTCCTTCCCATTCCCTTCATCTTCCATTTCCTCCCCTCCCTCACTTCTTCTCCCCTTCCTTCCTTCCCCCTCCCTTCCCTCCCTCCTGCTCGTCTCCTCCCTCTCTGCTCTTTTTCTGTGACATCTTTTTCTCCTCCTCTTTCTCCTTCACACTCTTCTCCCTCCTCTCTTTCCTCTTTCATCTCCCCTCCCTCCTTTCTTTCTTTCTTTCTTTCTTTCTTTCTTTCTTTCTTTCTTTCTTTCTTTCTTTCTTTTTTTTCCGAGACAGGGTTTCTCTGTGGCCTTGGAGGCTGTCCTGGAACTAGCTCTTGTAAACCAGGCTGGTCTCGAACCAGGGCTGGTCTCAACCTCACAGAGATCCCCCTGCCTCTGCCTCCGGAGTGCTGGGATTAAAAGGCGCTCACCACCAACGCCTGGCTCCTCTCCCTCTTTTCTACTAGTATTATTTGAGGCAAGGTCTCCCTATGCTACTCAGGCTGTCCTCAAATTTATCATCTGCAAACCTTGGCCTTCTGCCCAAGCATGAGCATTCCAATCATCCTGTGTGACATAATACTGAGTCAGTATATTTTTGAGATGTTTTGGCTATGATGCCCCAGCTGGATTCAAATTCCAGTGCTGAAGACATCTTTCCACCTCAGTCTCCCAGGAAGCTGGGAGTATAGGTGCACACTAAGATAATGATTTCTCTCTCCCTCTCTCCTTTATTCCTTTCTTGTGTTCCTGCCTCCTTTCTTTTTAAAATTGCATCTGCTTATTTGTGCATGATGTGCACATGACATATGGCATACGCGGAGGTCAGAGGACAATTGGCAGGAGTTGGTTCATCTCCTTCTTCCTAGGTTCTAGGGCTTGTTGGCTTTCAGCCTATCAGAGACACTGGTCCCAGGTTCAAGGAGTGATCTAGTCTCAGAGGAATAGTTGGTGTGTGATGGAAGAGGACATATGATACATTTTAGTCTCCACATGCATGCACAGGTGGGTACATGTATTCACTAGACCCACATAGATACACACATGTAAATAAACGATAGAACTGAATCTTTAAAATGACAACCCATCAGTTAAGATCACGTATTGCGGGCTGGAGAGATGGCTCAGAGGTTAAGAGCACCAACTGCTCTTCCAGAGGTCCTGAGTTCAATTCCCAGCAACCACATGGTGGCTCACAACCATCCCTTATGAGGTGCCCTCTTCTGGTGTGCAGATATACATGGAAGCAGAATGTTGTATACATAACAAATAAACAAAATCTTAAAAAAAAAGATCATGTATTGCTCTCACAGAGGACCCAACTCTGGTTCTCAGCACCGGCATCCAGAGACTCATAGCTGCCTGTCATTCCTGGGCCAGGGAGATCTGATGCTTCTAGACTCAGCCAGCACTTGCACTCATCCACATACACACATGTACACACACATACATACACAAAATTAAACAAAATAAATATTTTTTTTAAAAGAATAAGAAACCCAGTAAACCAAGATGGACAATTAAGGAACAGCATCCCAGGTTGACTTCTAGCCTCCACATATTCCCATGTCCATGTGTGTGCGTGTGTGCCCACACGCACACGCACACACACACACACTCTAAACACATGCAACTTTAAGGGTGCCTTCAGACTACAGCAGATGTATAGGATGTATGAATAAGTAAAACGTTGCAGGTACAATGGATGGCTGTACGACTGGATGGTAAGGTGGATGGGAGCTGGAGAGAGGATGAGTGACCAGTGAGGTGATGGGTGATGAGTGGGTGATGGACAGTTGTGTGGGAGGACCTGATGTACAGATGGGTGGCTGGATGGGTGGACAGGCAGATGTGAAATTCTGGCCATGAACTGTAAGTTACAATCCGGGCATAATTCATGTGAGTCTCAGCTACTTTTCATTTGTTATTATTATTATTTTGTTTTTATTAGTATTTTTATTATTTTATTATTGCTGTTATTTTTGTGTATTATATGATCATGTGTATAGATATATGTGTGTGTGTTAGAAAGAGAGAGAGAGAGAGAGAGAGAGAGAGAGAGAGGGAGAGAGAGAAAGAGAGAGAGAAAGAGAGAGAGAAAGAGAGAGAGAGAGCGCACAGGCTTGGGTGTTGGGCTTCATCTTTCATCTCGTTTGAGACAGGGACTCTTTGCTGTCCTGCCCCTGTATATGCCGGGCTAGCAGGCCTGGAAGGTACAGGGAGTCTCTGTTTCAGCTTCCTCCCATATCACTGTAGGAGCCCTGGGATTATGCACACATGCTGCCATGCTTTGTGCATGTGGGCTCTGGGGATTCAAGCTCAGGTCCTTGGACTTGGACAACAAGCTCATTAAGCACATTGCCGACTCCCTAGCCCCCACCAGCTGATTTTCTGAGCCACAGCTTGGCCCATGGAACACCGTGTTCACATAGTCTCTCTTTCTAGGTGCGTCCTTCCTTCCGTTTTTCTCCGGATCTGAGATTATTACACAGCTCTTGCATAGGCTGATCTTCTCAGGGGTAAGAAAAACGTTTGGGAAATAACTTGTGTCTCTGAAGGGGCAGCTCTCAAACAGATCTCCGTGACGACTGGGGTGTTCTTAAGCCATATGCAGACCCAGTCTTATTTGGGGGCCTCCTCCCTAGCTCCGTTCTCATCATTGCCTCCCTCTATGGATCTGTCCCCAATCTGTTCCATCTGGTGCTCCAATGGAGATGGTGGAAACAGAGCTGATTAGAGGGATGAGAACTATTTGGGTCAACCTCCCGTTTCTGATCCAAGACCTCTTTTATCTTCTTCAGGGGCTGAGGCAGCTATGAATGTGGATACCTTGGGCCTGCTCAACATATCTCAGGGTCCCAACAAAGCACTCTGGGGCACTCGCAGGGGTCCAACTATGCGCCGACAGAGGGAGTTTATGCCGGAAGAGAAGAAGGACACAATTTACTGGGAGAAACGGAGAAAGAACAATGAGGCGGCCAAGCGGTCCCGGGAAAAGCGACGTCTCAATGACATGGCCATTGAAGGCAGGCTGACCATGCTGCTGGAGGAGAATGCTATACTAAGGGCTGAATTGCAAGCACTCAAACTTCGGTTTGGCCTTTTGCCTTCTGTGTGTGGTGCCCGGACGTTGCCGTTGCAGGCCTTGCTATGGAATTCTTCTTGGACTGGGGACTCTCATTCAGGGGCTGACACATTCTTATCTTTGCCTGGTGCCCACGGCTGCCTATTCAAACCATATGCCGTGGATTCTGGGATTCCTGGTTTCTCAGGATGCCTGGTGGCTCAAGGATGGGCTGGCTTAGCTGCTTCCCCCAGGTTCTTGCAGGAGTCAGAGCCCCTGAACCCCAGGATAGTTGACAGAACCTTTCATGCCACCTTCCCAGCTGCTATCTTTGGTTGTCACTTCTTAGATGGGCATGTGGGTTCCAGAACAGAGTTCAAGTCTTGCTGTGGGCTGTGGTCGCCTGTGCCCACTGGATCCCATGCCCCAGGGTCTTCAGATATATCATTGACATCCTATGAGAGTTCCATTGGGTTTTTGCCTAGTATGACCTGCTCTGTCCCAGGTGACAGGTCTGAGGGTCTGGCTCAGACTTCCCTGCCTCACAAACTGCGCATCAAATCCCAAGCCTTAAGCAGCTTATGTTGAGGTTGGCCAGGGAAGCCTCTGAGAGCTGCCTCTGGCCAGGCCAGACCTACAAGAGGGTTGTTAAAATTGAGCAGGGGTTTCTATAAAGGATGAGTGGCTTGACTTTGAGTAGTTACTAGGAGTGGACAGGGCCTGCAGGAAGTTGCCCTTGCTGGGAGGGTCCACCTCCTAGAGCCAAGATCAGGGCTCTAGGTGAGGGGATGAGATCCCAAATTGAATTATGTCATAATTTTTACTTTGCTCTAAAATCTTAACTCTGTGTCATTTCATCTCTTCACTCATCCATCAGTCCATCCAGTGATTGTTGACATCCACCTAGCCATCCATTTATCCTTCACATTTACACCAGTCAACTCATCTTCCCAACCATTGGTCCATCTGTTTACTCATCTTTTATTTCTATCTATTTCCATTCCTCCACCTATGTCTTTCTATCCACCATTCCACATGTCTGCTCTTCTTCTCACTCATTTACTCATTTATTTATTGATATTTGATCCATCCATGCATCAATTCATCCATGCATCCATCCATCCATCCATCCATCCATCCATCCTCTCATCCTTTACCTTTTCATCCATCTTAATACTCTATCTTCCCTCTCATCTGCCTGCCTACCTGACCTCTATCTATCTATCTATCTATCTATCTATCTATCTATCTATCTACCTACCTACCTACCTGTGCTGGCTAGTTTTTATGTCAACTTGAAATAAGCCAGAGTCATTTTAGAAGAGGGAAGCTCAACTGAGAAATCCTCTCCAGCAGATTGTGGGCAAACCTGTGGCATTTTCTTAATGATTGAGGTGGGAGAGCCCAGCACACTGTGGGCTACGCTACCCTGGATAGGTGGTCTTGCATGTTGTAAGAAAGCAGGCTGATTAAACCACGAGGAGTAAGAAAGCCAGCTAGCAGCACTCCTTCATGGCCTCTGCATCAGCTCCTGCTTCCAGATTCCTGCCTTGTCTGAGTTCCTTCCCTGACTTCCCTTAGCAATGGAGCATGACCTGAGAGATGTAAGCTGAAACCAACCCTTTTTTCCTCAACTTGTTTATGGCTATGGTGTTTTATCACAGCAAAAGAATTCCTAATCATCTATCTATCTATCTATCTATCTATCTATCTATCTATCTATCTATCTCCTTTATCTATCTTTTGTTCATTCATGTATTTAAATATATGCTGATAATAAAGATTTTAGAGCAAAAAGTGTTTATGGCTATGGTGTTTTATAACAATAACAGAATCTCCAAGGGTCCATCTATCTATCTATCTATCTATCTATCTATCTATCTATCTATCTTCTATCTATCTATCTATCTATCCTATCTATCACCTATTATCTATTTTTCTATGTATATTTCTATCTATACATCCATATATATCTGTCTGTCTGTCTATCATCTTCCGTTTGCCCATCCATTCATCCTTCAGCCTTTCATCCAACCTTTCATCAACCCATCCATCTTCCTATCCTTTTGGCCATTCATTTATTCATCAACCATCAATTCATCCATCTACACATTGATCCATTCATTAATTCTTGTTTTTTTAATACATTTTCTCATCCATCATTCTATCCATCCTTGCATCTTCTCACCCACCTGCCAAGATGTTTACTTGTCATTCATTCTTCTATTCATCTATCCACCCACTCATCCTTCAATTTTTAATTCATCCATCAACCCATCCACACATCCACATCTTCATTCCTTTTATTTTCCACCTCTTCATCCAGCTACTGATCTGTCCATCTTTTTCATTTTTTATGTATTCAATCATTAATTCCTACTCATTTGTTTTTCTATTTACCTACAATTCATTATCTCCTCTCTGAGTCACTCATGATCTTTGGCCTTCTGTGTCCAGCTTAGAGAGAAATAAGTGTGAGGTGCACCACCAGAGAAAATAATGTTTCAGGGGGTCTGAATCCTGAATTCTTGGAGGTCATCTTGGGGCTTTGCTTACTGCCTGCATAGGGAGGAGGTGTATCCTGTTGAGATGACTTCTCTGTGTCTTGGACCAGAGTCCCAGACTGCTGGAACAGGTTAGCATTTTTTTGTGTGTGTCTGTGCATTTGCATGTGGGTTTGTGTGAGTTTGTGTTTGCATGTATATTTTTTTCCAAGACAGAGTTTCTCTGTGTAGCTTTGGAGTCTATCCTGGCACTCTCTCTATAGACCAGGCTGGCCTCAAACTCACAGAGATCTGCCTGCCACTGCCTCCTGAGTGCTGGGATTAAAGGCGTGCACCACCAATGCTTGGTGCATGTGTATTTTTTTTGTGTGTGTCTGTGTGTCTTTACTGTCTTCCCTTTCCCCAGCTTATGGCTGACCCTGAGATACCCTCCCAACTGACTACTCAGTATAAGGTTCTCTCCCGAATGCCAGAGGCTACACCCTCTTCAGTTTCTCATTCAAGAAGAGATTTTTGTTAGATTCTGGGTTGTATGGCTCTAACTACAATAGTGTGGAGAACTAGTGGAGACAGGAGGATCCTCTCTTCTGGTTCCATGGCTGAGCTCTGGATGGTCTTGGATAGCAAGGCCATCAGGTGCCAGGACCATCCCTACATTACATGTGGAAGCTGGGCTAGTTCTCAGCCACCCTGATTCATCCGGGTCAGGACTAGCCACTACCCCTCTGGATGTGAGTAAGATCCCAGTGCTTTCTTCCCTACCTTTGGGGCTGGGGCTGGGTTTTTTTCTTTAAAAGCTTTATCAGCATTTATTTAAACATAATAATGAGTTCTGTTATGACATTTACCTTCATGTATATAATGTATTTTGATCATATCCTTCATTACCCTTTTGCCCCACCCAGCCCTGCTGATCCCTTCCTCTTCCCACCTAGTCCTCCTCCTCCTTTCTGGTCTTTGTTTTAGGTGACCCAATGAATTTAATTGAGGTTGCTTACAGGAACACGGGGGGGGGGGATTTGTTTACCGAAACAATTTGCCAATGAGTACACAACTGAAGATGCCCTCCAACCATTAGGGTGGACGGGGCCTTGTGAGCCCCTCCCCCTAACAACCATTGACTGCCTATCAATCCTCAAAGGGGTGGGGCCACGTGAGCCCCTCCCCCTAGGAACCACTAACTGCCTATAAAATCCTCAAGGGTGAGTGGGGCCTCAGAGGGGCAGGGACTTGTGAAGCTCTCCCCTCTTCCCCTAGAAATTAATTACTGTCTACTAATATACAGAGCCTGCTGAGCCATTCTTTCTTGCAACTGTTGTTAGCAGTGTATCAGTCCACAGGGAGGGCCTCCTCTTGAGACGTCCATTTTCCAAGAATGACTGGAAAGCCTTCCTGGAAGGAGTGGTCCAAATTGGCCAATGCCTGTCTCTGGGGGAAAGACCTAGTTATAGAGATCTCTTAGAGCTATAAAATCTGAAGATCAGAAGAGTTCCACATGGGAGGGGAACTAGAGTTTTCTCGTGAGTGGTTATTTGGTTTCTGTTTCATACTTCTGGGATTGGAAAGCTCGGTGCCTTCCAAGCTACTTCAGTGATTCATTCTCTTGAGCCCAAAGCTTCATCCAATAAACTTACCACTCAGACGTCTGTCTCTTTCCCACTTTCCTCTTAGAAATGGCTTGGAAGGTTCTAGTTGCTCGTCTACAAAGTATAGAGTGTCATCCTTCTTTTAGATGATCTGAGGACCAAACTTCAGTCATTGTGTACAAAGCTCACAAGCTCAGAGCTGCCTGCTTCACATACTCTAACCGTAGACCACCTGGCTCAGTTTTTACTCACTCAGCATCCAAATGTTAACTTCTTTTTCCTTGCTGTGTAGAAATGACTCACATTTCTTGATTCACCGAATGCCAATGAGTACACAATGAGTACTTAGGAGACATAACCTCTTATTTACAAATGACTTCTCTTCACCATGGCTTGCCTTTTCCTGTTTTCTTTTTAATCATGGCTCTAGGACCTGAATAGAAAGCACCCATTCATCAGATTCATATTTTTAACAGTCTCCTTTTGTGCTCCTTCTATGGGGCCAAGCAAGAGTTGCAAGAGGGTCAATTAGACAGTTTGTGGAAAGAGAAAACTTCTATCAATGTCCAGAACCTTTACCGGATGTGTTGATGAACACTTTGCTGGGTGCTGGGACCACAGCTGTGGTTTCTGCCCTCTGAGAGTCACTGAGTAGCTGATCTTTCCCTGTGGGTTCCTAGAAATACCGTTGCAAGAGCTGGGAGCTACTTAACACTTTGGGGTACCAGGTAATCCTTGGTGTGGGTGTCAGTTTTATGATAGGTTTAGGTAATAATTTCAGGACATCATGTGGTCATGTGCTACTTTATCTGTTTTATCCATCCTTCCATGTCATGAGATGTCTTTGGGTACAAATGCCTAAAATTTCCTTTTTTGCTTCAGAGGTACCCAGTCTATATATGTCCAATAAAGATGGCATGGAAATTTCTACCTGCTTCAGCTGGTGACTTCCAGGACTAGCAACAGAAGAAACTGAAGTGGCTAGGTTCCTCTCTTTTGTCTGCAAGGTTTCTCAGATACACCCTGGCTGAACACATCTGAGTTCTTGTGAGAGTATATGCGTGTTTTCATGTGTGAGTCTGTGAGTGTGTGTGTAAAGAGGCTAGAGGTTGATGTCTGGTGTCTTCCTTGATCACTCTCCACCTTACATTCTGAGGCTGGGTCTATCACTTGAACTTAAAGCTCTCTGATTCGGTTAGTCCAGCTTGCTCTGGAGACTCCTTGTCTCCACTTCCTAGGTGTCAGGGTTACAGGTGGCTGCCACACACATCCAGAATTTACCTGGGTTCTGGGATTAGAACCCACATGCTCATGCTTGTGCAGAAAGCCCTTTACACACTGAGCCATCTCCTCACTGTCACTGGCGTCTTCAGGCACCACCGCTCTGAAGGAAACCCTTCCACGTAGCTTGGTCAGAATTTGCTTTATGATCTGTGGAATGGTCATCGTTGCTATATAGTGAGTCTGTCTCAAAGAACAGCCATCTCTAAAACAACTACAAAATAAATAGATGGGAAATATCTGTGCCAGAATACAACCCTTTTGATAAAAACAAATGCATCCAGATCAATCCTGTGGGACATAGCATGTTGATGCTATGTGTATCATAGCTGTGTATTCTGGAGTGGAATTCCAGATTGTAGGGGTACTTGTTTTCACTCTTAATACTCTCAAAGTGCTGTGCCGACTGGACACTCCTTCTGCCTGCAAAAGAAGTTTGTGCTCTCATTTTCTGAATTATCCACAAATTTTCAAACACTTATGTTCAGTTTTAAATTACATTTTATTTAGTGTGTGATGTAAGTGAACACCTGTGCACACAAATGTGGCATGATGCATGTGTTGTGGTGTTTGAATCCACTGGGAAAGACCAAAGACATTGACTCAATTAAAATTTGGATTAAGTGAATTTATTCTTACTGCTAGCAAAAGGATGACAGCCTTGGAGCCACAAAGCATGCCACGCCGAAGGGGTCTCAAGGAAGGGTTTATAAAGGAGAACATCAAAGGTGCCTGTTACAGATATCCCAGGCTTTGTGGGATCCACAGTTGGACCACAAAATTGCTTTGCCTCCTCTCACTGGTTTCTATCCCTCTTAGAAAGACCAGATCATCCCAGTCCTACAGTTGATAAGTGGGTTTAGAAAATGGAGAATAAGTGGCTGGATTGGTTAATTACCTCACAGCAGGAACAGCATATCCTATTTTTCAGAGCAGTAACACCTGCAGGTGACTACGATCTCATAGGGATTTCAGGGCAAAGGTCTGAAAGCCCTTAAGGGGTGCCAGGTGCCATGTTAAGTTCTTTAGCCATTACAGGGAATCATATATAAATTATTACACAGACCTGAGCACTCTGGAGAAAGTGACAATTTGCAGGAATTAGTTCTGTCTTTCCACCATGTGTAGCCTATGGATTGAATTCGGGTGGTCAGGTTTGGTGGCAAGGGCCATTTTACCTGAGGGACCATTTTGCGGGCCCTTATTTTCATTTTGAGACAATGTCTTGCTATATTCTCCAGGCTGGTCTTGAACTCTCCTGGCTCTGGGAAATCCTCCTGTCTTAGTCTCGGTGGTGTGGCATGGGTTTCACTTATTGTTGGTGCAGTTTTGTCATA